CTGTTTGCCGTTCCGGACTCCAGGACTGCCCCGCCCCCTCATCCGCCCATTTGGGCATGACTTAGACATCCGGAGAAACCGAAAACTTGGCCGTGAGTGTGAAATTAAATATCGCCCTGCGCAGCGTTCGTAAATGTAAAGTATGTAATCACCAAAATGTTGCTTGCGTTATTTAAGTAATTACAATTTAATTTGAAAAAAGGCACTTTATGGTTTATTTGTATATACAAAGAAATTTAAGGTGTAAAATCAGGGTCGAATCATATTAAAAAGTTAAGTGTTGATATGGTTTCTTTACTTTTTGAAAGGATTTTAATCTGCTCTTGTAACTGAAACTTTAAGTCTTAGATCTTATATTTCTCAGTCCTTTTTTTCATTTTCTCGAATACTTTTTTGAAATCATATACATTTTTAAAACTTTGTAAATAGATATTATTTTAAAACAAATTCAGAAATCATAAATTTAATAGCAACATGATCTGTCACACTAACTTCTATATAACCTGTCGTATATGAAGTTTTTCATATTCATCATGTCCCATTTATAACCCTAAATATTTAATATACAAAAAAGCCCCTATTTTTGTTTGAATAATTTTTCTTATGACTTGCTAATTTATTTCATTACTCCCGTTCGGACAGTCTGAAGTGGACCCACAGTAATCTCTCCAAATGAGCGATGCAATGGGTTAAGGGCAGCTGCCGACTGCGAAATGAGATGAAATCGAATCGAGTGAGCCGTCACTCGACCGCAGCTGGAAATCGAAATGGAAATGGAAATGTGACCTTGAATGCGGTGTAGCCCTATATATTATATATGTATATACACATGGACAGGAGCGGCAGGACTCGGATTACGAATGCGCTGCGCGTGACTTCCAGTTAAGTCCTAATTATGTCAGTAACTCATACGAGATTGCAAAGGATTTCTTGGAGGACGGGAGGATGGGAGGGTGGAAGGGGGACCAACTGGGGAGGGGGTATTGCTGCGTGCCTGACACGTTCGCCGCACGGCGGTGACGCAATTTCCAAAAGATTTGCAACCCAAATACACAAAGGTGGCCCGATGTCCTTCGCTGCAGGATGTGCTATGTGCTATGTGCTATTGCCATTGCTATTGCTATTGCTATATGCCATCAGGGGTTGATGCGCCACCCCTCCGAAGCCAACTGAAAATATCTGAAAAACAACTGCGGCAGCCGGCTCTCGTCACTCACTCGCTGCCCAAAACAGATTTGAAACTGAGAGAAAGCTTTGTGAAATGTTTTAAAATATTTTTTAGTTTTTAAGTAAAAATTTTAACACCATTTGATTTTTATACTTAAAATATATTACTACATTTTTATATAAATGATGAAAAGTTTGATACATTAATCGTTTCTATTCAAGAACATCTTCTATTAATTCGATTCCTTGCCAACTTTTGTTTTAATTTTATTCATAAAATAATAATTATATTAAAGTTTAATCTAATATTGATTTTGTTGAATTTATGATGTTTATTATTCAATATGATTTATTTTGTAGAACATAAAATAATAATTATATTAAAGTTTAATGTAATATTGATTTTGTTGAATTTATGATGTTTATTATTCAAAATGATTTTTTTTGTAGAACACATCAAAAGTATAACTCTTTTAGTTAGACCAAATTAAAGCTTATAATATATTGATTTCCAATTTCTTGCTCAGCTGAAAGCTATTTCGCTGTACAATTTCCTAGTTTCTCTCTGTGTAGCTATTATAATGATGCGATTCCAGCGGGCGTCGGTGGGCGAACAACCCCCGTGTGAGCTGGGCCTTCACTCATTCATCCATCCATTGTGGCATTCAGTCAGTGAGTCAGTGGGAACCCGGCCAGCCCACTCACCCAGTTATGAGTGTCCTGTGCCTTTCGTACTTTCGTCATTTCGTCCTTTCGTCCTGCCTGGCAACAAGCGAAAAATTCCACTTCGTGGCATAGGTATAGGTAAAACGTAGTGGAGTGAAACAAAATAAAATTGGTGGTGCGTCCGATGCTCTGATCCCGAGATGCATCCCCCAAAATCGACATTGTTTCAACCCCCGACACGATGATTCACAGCGGTTGCAAATGCCGTGGAAAATTCCACGCGTCCTTAAATAAGTACATATGTACATATATAATCAGTAACCTTCAAATGCGCACATAGGTATCACAGCATTTCAACATTTCTAATTTTCATGTATTAATTCATTTGGATTTGCATTTTCTATTGCTCAGGGCTCTGTAATATTTATAATTCCAGTTAAGTCACTTTATTTATTTGCACCAAAAATACATTTACGCTTTGTATAGGCAAATTTATAAACAATATAAAATATATTTGATTTTTGGCTAATACAAATTTGTGTAACATATTTTAAATTTAAATTTTGAGACTAATAAGATGCTATAATAATTCCCTACTATTACATAAAATTTAATCAAACTTTATACGATTAAACTTTATATTTTTTAACCGTTTCAATTTCCAAATATAAGCTTGTTTTCAACTATTGAAGTCTTAGCCTCAATGGTCAATAATTTTAAGGGGACTTACAGGTAAGTCCTGCGAGTGTCCTTCGCACATCAGACTTATTTCAAAACCAGGACGGTGGCACCGTCTCCACTCGAGTAATTTCTGTTACCATAATCATCTTAATAATTTCACAACTCATGTCTTTATTACATTTTTCCACTCTTCCCCGCTTTTCGGCACCGCCACCGCAATATTATTTTCCAGCTCTCAGAGGAATTTTTTAATTTCAACAGCGCAAAGTATCTAATGGCGAGGAAGCAGAGGCTTTAGTACAAAAATACAACAAAAAAAAAATGGAAAAGGGAAATTGTATCTTCATGCGTGTGCCCCGAGACGCATTTTCATTCCCTAAGTAGACGCATTTTATCAAAGACTTTCCATCTCGCGTCTTCTTGCCACGTAGTAATTTAACCCCTCAGTGCTTTTCGTGAAAAATTTGGCTGTAATAAACCGAGAACCCTTCGCCTCTCAGCAGGTGACCCATCTTTCTAAGCCATCAATGGTGAAAGAGCAGCTTAGCTAATTTGGAGGAGGACCCTCAATCAGGCGGAAAGATCGAAGCACGGGGCGGTACAATGTAATATCCCCTAATCCTGGCAAGGCAACAAATCAAGTTCTCTGTAATCCGTTGGGGGTATACCTTGATTGAAGTCCTTTCTTAAAGTCCTTTCTTCCTAGGTTTCGGTTCATTCGCTTCTCACTGAAGCAACGAGAACTTTCATTATGAACGCGTATTGAACTCAGTTTCCTTTCAAATTTAAGAAAAGAAAATTTTATAACTTGAATAATACGCAGCTAAAAATTTTTAAATCTGAGTTCACAAGATGATTAATGTTTAAATGAAAAAGTATTTATATTTATTAAACCAAATCTTAGCGTTGATACCTTAAAATATATTTATCTTTACTTAAAATACATTAAAATACAATACAATCAGTTATTTTCTAATTAATAGTTGGCTATGTATTTTCAAATTTAATCATTCTACTTTGATTTCTTGTTAATGCTTTCCTTTTAATTTATTTTCCAGTTATTCAAATTCCACCATTTAAAACATATTTGCCTTGTCATTTTTGTTTGTGTTTTACGTATTCCAGATCTTTTGTTGATTTATTATTCCATCAGTTCTCAAATACTTGTCGTTGCGCTTGGAAAATTTAAGTTATTCGAGTGTTTAACTTCCCCATATAATATTATTTCCAACATACTTTTTCTGTCACATTTATTTGTGTCCTAAGTATTATGGACAAAAACGGAATGATCTTCCCCTAAAACAATTTTCCTTTCCTGCTGCGCCGGAGATTTAAATATAGAACGGCCTTCCAGCAAAACCAAGAACAGGTTCCGTGGTGCACCCACACACATGTTTACAGGCCGAACTAATTTTAGGTCCCATCCCAAACCATTTCCCATCCGTCGGAAACATTTGAAGGTCTCCATCCAGTGCAGCTGCATGAAATCTTTAATTGGATGGCGTTGAGGCCGATTGCCTCAATTTGGAGTCCACTTTCACAGGGAATCTGAAAAGGGTTGAATGGGATCCAGCCACGATTCCCACGCACCTTCATGTCCAGACTCAGTGGATGAAGAATATGAGCAATTATAGTGGGGTTCCACAAAGAAATATAGACAACAATTCAGCAGTCCTTTTTTGTTAAAATTTGTACAAATTTTATTGAATATTTTTTTTTGAAAAACTTACCAAAATAGATGTGTTTTGAACGAAAAAAAATATTTTAACTATTGTCTGGTAAACATAAAAACATACTTTGTTCGATTTTCATTGAGTTTTCATTGAGTTTTCACTATGGGCAAAGGGTTCATTATAAAAAAGAATTCTCGAATTGCCTTAAAATTTCCTCAAAATTAAAAATGATCTTCATGGTTGGACTGAACAGAATAGACGCAACGTAAAAAATAAACAGGAGACACTTCAAACGTATTGTTCAATACTTTGTTTTAAATGTTTTACCAAATTGAATATAGACTTAAAACGTGACAACCAAACAAAGTTTGCCTAGTGAACTATATTATCTTGGCAAACAAACAATTCATAATATATGGACAATAACATTCATCACCATAAGATTGAATTTGTAAAATGGAAAACCAAAACTAAACTGCTCTACCCTATAACAGAAAATATAGAAGCGATGTGACCTGTTACAAACACAGCAAGAAAATAAATAGACATAAATAAAGATATATTACAAATATTCTTTTTTAAAAGACTTGTTATAAAACAAAACTTTAAAAAAAATACCCCTGCAATATTGACATTTAATTATTAATGGATCGATCCATTATAAAGCTATTACTGTGTTGTATTGGAAGTAAAAGGGTATTCCCAGTTTCGTTCCGCGAATAAAGCGGTTCTCTTTTTGTGTAGCAATCTACTCAAATCTACTTGTTGAGATAGCCCGCTGATCGTTGATAATCAGGGTGGTGAATAACAGCAGCTGGCAGTTTTCGTTGATCTGTGAGCGAGTGAGTGTCCAAATCGATGCATGCGATTGAAGTGTCCGCCGGAGCAGCCCCCCGCCCCACCTCTTACCTGCCCTGCGTGACCTTTGCCCCCGGCCAGAATGCAACCGGAATGGGTGAGCAACGGATTGGACCGCTTGTCGCCGAACGGACGGCCCAAAGCCGAATCTTCTACGGACTCGAGGTGATGGCCAGTGGACCAGGGGGCAGACCCACCTGCCTGGACTTCAACCACTTCCTGCCACTGCTGCCCACCTTCGTGAGCGTCGTTTGGTTGGGTCAGCGGTACTGGGACGTGGATCCCATTGGTCAGGTGGAGAGCCTTCAACTGGCCCAGCACCTGGCCACCCACATCCCCGTGTTGCCACACCTCTCCGCCTATCGATTGGAAAAGGAGCGACTCGATCAGTTCCTGGCCCTCAACTTCAGCAGCCTGCTGGCCGTTCGAGGGGATCTGGTGCACGAGGGCCAGGAATTCGGCTTCAGTCAGCCCATGGTCGAGCAATCAAGAAGCCAGCGAGGCGGTAATTTATATTATTTTTAATTAAAATACTAATAATATAATATTTATGATTGAGAATTCGCGAACTCACTCAGCGATCGGCGCTTCTTTTTGCATATACACGCATGACCCACATAATCGCAAACAAAAGGTTAAGTTCAGCTTCATCTTTTGTTTATTTTTTTGAATTGTTGTCAACAACTAGTTCTAGCAACGAGCAGTGGGTCGTTTTTTTTAAAACACTTTAAAAACCTACTTAATTTATCTAGTTGATCTAGAGTCCAATAAATAATTCATTAATAAACAATATGACTGTTGGTTTTAAGAATATATTGATGTTAGAATTATAAATTAATTTCTTTATTTTCCAACTTTTTGAAATAGTTTAGAAAGTTGTGTTCGGTACAGACAAATTATTTTATATTTCCAACATGAACTTGTTAAAACCAACAGACTAATTGTTTATAAATGGCTTATGGTAACTGCCTTCAATGTAAATATTCACTGATTTTGTGGCTTCAAAAAACCTTTTAAATTGATATTTTGTCGATTTATTTATTATTAATTTAATTAATTATTATTAATTCCTGTTTTTCAACACAGAAAGAATTTCAATTTGCGTGCCTGGATACCCAGAAGGATACACTAGCTTAGGCGACGTACCTCAAAATTCAGCTAGAAACATGGAGTACCTGAAAGCAAAGGTGGGTTCTTTTGTGTCAGTCTGCCAAATAAATGTTTTATTTAACTAAAACTCACTTAAAATGCAACTAGGTAAAGCAATCAATAATACTTGTAATAAATTATAAGCAATATTTTCATTTCATTGATACCGAATTAAGGAAGAACATAAAACTACAAAATAATATAAATCTATAAACAATATTAAAAATGTATTTGTAGGTGGCGGCTGGAGCAGATTGTATTATTACCCAAATATGCTACCGTCCCGAAGTCATCGTGCAGTTTATCAAGGATTGTAGGGCAGCTGGGATCACTGTTCCGATTGTGGTGGGACTGATGACCCACGAATCCTTTCGGACTTACTCGGTGATGGAGAAAATAGCCGGTGTCCATCTGCCTACAGAGTTGCGACAGGAGCTCGATCAACTACGGAGTCATCATAAGGCGAATTCGAAATCTGAACCGAATCCGATAAGTAGGTATTTTGTCAACCTGACCGTCCGAATCGTTCGCCATATCCTGGATGCTGATTTGGGCATTTGGGGGTTCCACTTCTTCACACTGAATCATTTCAAGCCAGTGCAAGCGGTGCTTCAAGAACTTCGGGACTTGGATATACTAATAGATCCCGAACAGGAGGAAAAACAACATGAAACTAAAATGTATAGAGTACTTTGAAATTTAAATTTTTTATAAGTTTTTAATTTGGATCGTTCAGGGTTACAATAAGAAATTTGAATTTTTTTTCTTGAAAATAATAACTTTAGTATCTTAACACATTTATAAATCGTGCTTTTTTTAAATTTGTTTTGTGTTGCCTATATATTTTGAAAAATTGGGCTAGATTCGCATGTCGTTCGGAATTCATAATTTTTGAATGGACAGCACATAGAGGGTGGTGTTTATGAAGAACCCTGCGGTTTGCAGCTCCAAAAAGTGCGTGCAACCCCTTTGGCTTGACCATTGATAAGCTACAGTCGAACAAAAACCTCTGATGTGACTGACATGCCTAATGACCGGGGTTCGAGGTCTGCAGCTGGCCGAAAATCGAAGGGTGATGAATGGATCGCGGAACCCTTTGCCCGTCCTTTGCATATGCGAATTTGGCAGCTCTAGTGCGTCATCAACGTCAGTCACTGTCACAGGCACTTCAAATCGCAAGCCAAGAAATGCGTAGATATTTGCTGATGGTTCTCATCCGGAATAATAGAACTGTTGCGTCATCGCACCTTCCTTCGGGACTTGCCATCCGAGGGTTGACGCCCCTCCCAAAGACGCATTGAAAGGTCCTTTCACAAAAACAGCATTTGACATTTGTAACTTGCGGTTGATCGGCCATGGAGAAGGGATAAGTGCCGACCTCTACACTTCAAGAAAAAACGATAAAGATACAGAAATATTCCATGTTTAATTGCGCTTTAAATGACAAAATAATCATCCGAGGATTTAAAGAATTTAAAATTTTGACCAGAAATGATTTAATAATTATAAAACATTTTTAAAACTAAGTCAACAATGTTTAAAATATTATCATACTCCAAGTAATTTGGTTTAAAACAATATGGAATTAAAATAAATTAAATAAACTAAACTTTGTAATTAGAATTCAAACTTTAAAGGTAAGAATATAATTTTCAATAAAATTATGAAATTTTTCCTATTTTAAGCGACTTAAGAATTGATTTATTTAAGACCTTTTTGTACAAGATATTGTTTTTGGCCGTCTAATTTCTCTCTGTGCACTTCCAAGGGGTTGACTTTCACCACGGGCCCCCAGATGACACAGATGGAATCGGGGCTAAAAGGTTTCGCTGCCACCGCTTCAAATCCGACGCCTGCTTCTTATTTTCGCTTATTTTCGCAGCTGTCGCCTGGGCCTGAAAAATGATTTGCGAATGCGAATTTCCTTCCTTTTCTTCCGGATTTTGCTTGAGCTTGTTGACGCAGGGGTTGGGGTGGCTTGCAGCTCCGCTTTGCAATTATTTATCGGCAATTAAGCCAAACAAATGACGCCGTTAGAATGGACAATGTGCACATTGCGCATACGCCATGTCTGTCAGTCAACATAACTCTTGGGATTTTCGGTTCGTTTTTGTCGGCTTTGTGTGTGATTCAAACTTTAAATCTTGCTTGTGCCTTAAAAAAGTTTGAAGAAGACTTACCATTAAATAAAGTCGGTATATGTTACGTATATTGTACGGTATCTCGGACTTATTTATGAGTCAAATTAATTAATTCATATATTTTTAAGGCAAACTAAACAAAACGAAAAAAATAAATAAAGCTTAGTTTTCAAACCTTTTTTCACTATTCATTTACTAAAAGTATCTTCCATATTGACGTATGTGCATAAGTGTTCGCCGCGCTTGCAACTGAGCGGCAGATACAAATGTATCTGGGGAATACGTTCGGATCGATCGGAGAAATGCAATTTGTGCGGCTCATTTGTTTGCCTTTTCTTGGCCACCTTTTGTTTAGCTGTTTCTTTGCCATGCGTCGTTTAATTTTATTTAAAAACAAATAAACGTTAAATGGGGAAATCTACGATAAATAAAACCAAACAGCGGGACTACAAATCGGTGTGTGCTGCCAGCCAAAGAAAATCAAAAGATCAACAGCAAAGGCAGTAAAAAAAAGTTGGCCAGCAATAAAAACGATAAAGTAGAGATAAATTATTTCGAGTATAGATACCCCATATTCAATGCACCTACACTTGCTTGATTTCGTATTTAAATTAAGTAAATAACTTACTATATATTATTAATTATTTTTACATTTACTTAGTTATTAATTATTATAAATAGATATGTTTAAACCGATCTAGAAATATATATGTATATACCCTTTAAAAAAGTTTAAAAGAGAGAGAGAGAAAAGAACAGAAAGAAAAAAAAAGCAGAGCCACGTTCACGTTTCTCTGCCGCAGTCACAGTCGGCAGAAGCAGAGGCAAAAGCAGCGATCAGCTGGCAGATCACAGCTGAGCTACTCTCTTTTTTCTCACTCTCATTCGTCTCTTTGCTGTATTAGTCTCTCTTTCTAAGACTCAAGAGCGATACAAAACACTTAAGAGTAAATTGAGTGCCAAAAGATTGAAGAGAGTCATAGAGTGAGCGAACAGAAAGATCGGACGAAACCGAATGCTGTTATTCAGCGTTTAAGAGAATGTACCATATTATACTCATGCTTAAAGAATATTAGATATTAAAATACTTTTTGCAAACAGTTAAAGAAAAAAAATTAAGGTTTATCAATGTTTGAGCTCTGAAAATTAAGAGCGACAGCGATCTCTTGAGTGATCACCTGATGGGATCAGATAAAGGTGCTCAAGAGACGTCGAAAACACAGAGAATGTGGGATGCAGAGCGTCTTAATATCTCTTAGAAACCTGCTGAAGATCACTCAAGAGAAGAGTTAAGAGGTTGGGAGAAAATGCACTTGTGTCCAACCAGAACATACATTACAAATCTTGTAAAAATATTTCAAAATACTAAATGAAAATAACATAAATGAAAATACTTTGTATATAAATACATTGCTTCTAGTTCGGTTTGTTTTATCCGAAGTCACTGTAATCGTAGTTATTTAAGTATATATAATAATTTCTCAGGAAAACTCTAGATCTTTATACAAAACATATTCATCAACTTTGAATTTTAACAACTACATAAAAATTACCGAATACATGGACATTTCTTTGCCGATTATGAAAGTTTTTAAAATTTATTCGGGAACTATAAAGCAATAAATTAGTGAAAGATACTTTCGTTAAGTAAAACGTTAAATAGGAAAACAGATAATGCTTCGAAAACAATATTATTATGTTTCAGTGTATCGCAGCCATGGTCTTGAACGGTTTTGCACTAGAGGCGCTGTCTTAGTTGCCATAAAAACATCGGCAACATTGCTAATTTGCGACCTGCCCCACCGCAATTTGCATACACCGCGTGCGTGTTCGTGTGCGCACTAAATTCGCATTCGTAGATACAGATACACTTGCAGATACACGAAATGAACGCGTGCAAAGGCGAAATTGGCCAAAGCTCATTCGAAATTTACGACAAATTGTAACAATTTTTTAATTAAATTGCATCAAGACTGAAGTAAGGAAAGTGCCACCATACACGAACAAAAAGAAGCGAGGCTATGAATAAATGGTTTTATATGTGGGATTTAAAGTTAACATCAGTTTCCCTGCGGAAAACTCACTAAGACATACTTAACTATTATATTAGTGCAGTGAACTTGATTAAAAATCTTTTAGTTTTTTAAAGTATTAATTCTTACATCAAGAATAAAATATAATTGCTTAAGAAAAAATAATTTTCAAAAAATTGAGAGACACATGTAAAACATTAACAAGATAGATACATAAGTGTTTATATTTACGTACATATGTACCGGCACTTGTCCGGCACAAAAGTGTGGATATTCTGGGGGTAATATTTACCTTCTGGGGAACGAACACACGCTCACATGTTCCGTTTGGTGGTATAATTTATGGCCAGACTCGAGAGCGATCAAAAATAAAATGATTATTTTCAGAAGGAAGCAACAGAAATAATAAAATCGAAGCGCTACGCAAATTATAAACAAACGTCAACGAAGAGTCAGCTACGAAAACATCAACAAGCTACGTAAGCAGCCCCAACTAGATCCTGTTATACCAATTAGGACATACCCTGGAATAGAAAAGGTAAACTTTCCTTTTGACATTTTTTATTACCATACAAAAGGAAACCAGAACTTAATATATTTCTTAGGTAATTATAATAGCTGTCCATTCTTTAGATTTGGTCAATTTTTAAACAGTTAAGTTTATTTATTGTTAAGAATAAAAGGTCACATAAACATTTTGAACACAAGTAAAGAAAATTTGCCAAGCTAATTAAATAACTTAAATAGCTTTATTTTATTGAAATATTTCTGCAATATTTATATATATTTTAATGAGAGGTCTAAAGCATAGGCTGTATAACTTTTTTAATATCACCATTTAACTAATTCCTTAATAATCAAACTGAAACATTCCCTTTCTAAAAGTAAAAAAAAATTAGTGGTATTTCAATGGTCTAAAATAAATTTTTAGGAATTAAATCTTTTTATTAGAAATATTCTAGCCCGATATACCCTGAATGTACATTTATTTGGGGACCCAGAGCCGGATTGCAGTGTTGCCTTTTGATCTTTTTTCTCTGCACTGCTCTGTTGCATTTCCCAGATACTCAGATACTCAGATACTTGTGTGTGCACACCAGCACCGGGGCAGAGTGTGTGTGGCCTGTCGACACTGGGTTTTTAGAAAAGATGCGGCAAGATGCGAAGGACGGAAAAATTGGCAAACATAAACCGCAGGCGGCAGGCCAAATCGGAAGCTGCACTGAAATCGAAATGAGTGAGGAGGAAATCTCGACCGAACTGAAAAATCGTAAATTGAATTTGGCATTCGGAGCGTCCATTTGCTTTTCACACAATCTCTGACGCAATTCGCACCCATATTGCCATATAGCTTTCGCTTTGGATTAAATCTTCAGACTACAGCTGTTTTTAACAATAGAATTTTTATGAACTTGTACCAAATTTAAGAAAAGAATAAAAAGGAAATGCACATTTATTTTGTTCTTAACTTGTATAATTGCAATTGACTCAAAGGCAAATGTTTATAAAATTATTTTTTATACAAGCTTGATATGCTTTGTTTCAATGATAAATCACAAATTTTATGATATTATAATTCTCACAAATAAGCTGTATTTAGAAAATTATAGTTAATAAGGTTTAACAGGCTTTTGTTATTTTTAGTTGCATTTGGCATGGTATATATTATATTTTTAGTGTTTTATAATTTGTGTCATATGTTTTTGTCTGGTATAAACAGATGTTAGACTGTATATATTTAGAGTCTAGCGTATTGAAAAATGTATATTATGATATTTTGTATTTTACAAAGGGAAACTGCAAGCGAAAAATACCGCTTAATGCTCAATGTCGCAATGGGAATCGCCCATTATAACAATTTAATTTTATTTCATTTTGCCGCCTTTGCGCGTTTACGTAAGTCCCACGATTTTTGCCGCAATAACAAAAAACATTGAAAGGTGGACCCTAGAGATGTAACAAAAATCATAACTCATACAAAAAGTTTTTTAAAAATGTAATATATATTTTATAAATAATTAACAGAATGTTAAATATTAAATGGGGCTCAACTAAATATTTCATTCACATCAAAATCTATACATTAATTAATAAATTAAAGCTTAAAAGTTAAATTGTTGTTAACCTAAAGTTCTTTGGTTCGAATACGATTAAATGGTAAATTTTGAACAAAAGCTTTCAATAGCTTAACTAAAAATCAATAAATAAAAGACTGTGTTTTAAAAAATATAGGTTTTACAGGCTTTGAAATCATTCTCTCTTTTTTATACTGAATATTCTTTTTACTAAAGGTAGAGAGTATGAAAACTGAAATAGGTTTGAAGCCATGCACATCTCTAGGACCATCAGAAAAGGGGATTGGTTGGGTGGAGGAGGGGCAAACGACTTTTTCGCCGCCTTTTTGCCTGCAATTACACGGCCAACGGCTAACTGCAAATAGTGCTAGAGGAAAATACAAAAAAGGCAGCAACAAAATCTAAAATAAAATCGCGCCAGACAAGCTGACGGCAGCGTGTGATTTTGTACACGATGCGGTTGAACTGCCATGCATAGGCGTAGCAATTGGGGTTTAAAAAAAGAACATTATCATTATTGCTAAAACGGTGAAAAATTAATTATCACCACAGCTGCACTAACAAAAATATTTAAATTAATTTTTTAGTTGTGAAAGCTTGAGAGAAATGCATTTTACGTGCGCCCGTTGATGACATGGATTGGAGTAGTGTAATAAAGAAAAACTACTACATGTGGTTGTCAACTGATAAATGCTCTTCAAATAACATATTTAGGTATTTGATAATGCAAATTCGTTGAATATAGAATACTCAATAGATACTGTTTTAAACGAATTTCTGTCTTGCATAAAACTTTTGAGGATAGATATGAAAGTATATTTAAACAAATTCCCTTTATATTAAATTATTTTCTTTGAATGAATATAGTGTTTCGTATTAATATGAAACGTAACCAATAGTTTATAAATGTTGTATATACTAATGATAAGATATCTTTTGTTATTGGTTCTATATGTAAATATAAATAGCAACGTTGTTTTTTTCATTAAATTAACTTTTTCATAATATTTCCAATAATACATCCAAATAATCTATTAGTATATACAACAGTTTAGGGTATTCTAACTTCGGTTTGATTGAAAAGAAAACGCTCGACAGAGCGATCAGATCGAGATCCATGCAATTTCAGTCCAGATCGGGGCACTTTTCACAACATCGCATGATTGATGATTAGTCATCGACCGGTTTCTCCATTGTCTGTCGCCCAGCAACAGCACGCGAGTTGAAGGTTCGCCGGATAATTATCGAAGCCACAGTATTGACCAGGCCAGAAAGTACGGTTAGTCACCATCGCCGTCAGCGATTTTAAATCGAAGACCGGCTGGCCACAGTCTACTGTCAAACTTTTGCTTATATTATTATTCAAATTTGAAGTTAAAAGTTCTGGGGGCTTAAAAAAAATCGATTTGAGAAGAGCACTGCTATTTGTCATGAATAAAATATTATTTGTTAAATAAGCTTAAAGTGTTAAGACTAACAAAGGGTTCACTGGAAATAAACACTTTAATGGCAGCTGGATTGGGATTGAAAATATACCAAAGTTAAGACTACACCAAAAAAATAAACATTAAAAGATTAATATAAAATATTAATGTATGTATGAATAGTAAGTATAAAGTGTTTTATTAATATACCAAAGTTAAAACAACATCCAAAAGAAACTTCAATTGATTAATTTAAAATATTAATGTACGTATGAATAGTAACTATTAGAGGCGCCCACGTCGTGATAATTGGGAGTGACGTCTGGACAATTTTCACCGATCCTTCCTTCCTTTGGATTCTTTTGACGTAGCCGCCGATTTATTAACCGCACGTGTCGTCGTTTGATTCATAGTAGTTATACGTCACGGCTTTTCGATGACGATATTGGGGCGACGTGTCTTATTACAGTACGACCTACGTGACCTCTGAACCTACGTGTGGCTTGTCCACGATCAAATTACTAATTTTTCTAATTCTACCTCATGCAAATGGTTTTACATTAAAAACACCTATAACGCATTAAAAATTCTTAATCAGATGAATGAAATCCATTTGATCCCCACTACTTTATATGGCTATGTTAAGAAATCTTACTCAAACTTTTAAAACAATAAAGTATATATAGTCACAGCTATCTAAAATATCGAAAAACAAAATGACTTAAGACATATATCACTCTGTAATATAATGCTAACGAATTCCCCTTATGGGACCCAAAAAAATGAAGTATACAGAAAATGTACTGAAACCAACAAATTTATTTAATTAGCTAAGTTCTCCAGGCCCAAGAAGAAGTTTCATAGGAAAATTAAGTAACCGAAGGCACAATACAATTACTTGAACAATTACTGGCCAATCGATACATATGTTAGGTCCATTAATTAGATTAATTTGCGAAGAAGCTACAAATAATGAAAGCAAACAAGAAATCCACACGGCGGAAAATGAAAAATAAAAAAATAATTCAAATTAATAAACTGCAATTAATAAAGTGTCTATTAAAGCCTCCATTATTTTCACACATCCAATGTTACTCCAATGGCACTTCAAAAACTAGATACATTTTGTGTCCAAAGAATTGTTCAATTTTTTCGAGTAAGAATTCTAGGAAATCCATTTATGTTTTTGTTAAAGGTTAGACAATTAAATGTAATTTTTTTTTAACACACTTTCGCAATGTAAATACTTTTTTTTTGTATGACACCACCTTAAAACACATTTTCTCCCCTTTATTGTTGTGGGGTGATGCCGTTGACCTTGCGTGATATGCCCCAATGATCTTCAAACGTGCAGTTCCAGAGAATTGATCAAACAATTCAACAGCTGTTCGCGTGTGCTAATCGAAATTTAACAGCTTGTCAACAATCCGGCTTGTGTTCAGCCCCAGATGATTTTAAGGTTTATAACCTTGCCAAAAAGCTGTAGCTTAAATCAACGTTTGCAGATAGAATTTGCCTTTGTTGCTCTTTATCCTAAAGCAACGACCCCATTTCCAGTATTACATATGTACATTTTGAGGTTTTTCACCGCTTAACTAAATAACGCTTGTTAAGACAACAATTTAATTGTTTATTTGACATTTTGGAATAAACGTTTGATTTTTCTTCAAATAAATTTTAGTTTTAATTACACTGGTCATAAGAATACTAATAAACTACTTCATCTCTTATCCACATTGCTCTAGTGTTCGTTTACAACCATATTCAATCAGATTTAATGCATTTCAAATTACAATTCCAACCAAATTAGTTCTGCTAATGCATGCCTATTGTATTCTGCCTGCAATCTATTAAAAATACAATAATAAAACATTAATATAATATAAGCAATAATTTAGTTATTTGCCAATTATGAATGCAGTAATATATACATTAAAAAGGAATTGCATGCGACTTCATTTAGAAATCTCAAACGAGTGAATAACAGGAATGGGCTATTACCCATCTGCTTCTACAGCAAACAATGGAAAACTGTCCCTTTTTCATGAATGAATTTCCAATGTTGGTGTTCACTTTCGAAATATTGGCACAAGTGGTGTCCTGAAATTTTCCGAATTCAGAGCTCATGTTCTGGACAAACCGGAACCTCCCGCTGAAAGGATTGAGTTAAACAAAGGCTCAGTTTTCCAAAATCAGCTGGCAGCTGAAAATTCCGCACGTGACTATAATAAAACTGTGATCTGAATAAGTTAGAATCCATATGGATTCTGCCTTTTGGCAGCTGGTTTCTTAAAGATCACAGAATATGCAAGCAAAATAATGAGCTTAGCTCGATTTCCGTATCCCACTGATTTTCATAAATTAGATGTCTCGATTTTACATTGTTTTTGGGCGGCTGGCATACTTACTGACATACTTAAATATTATAGACTCAACATTGTTTGGGTTTATTTTAAAACTTTATCGCATCAACCAATTTACAGGAATGAAGGGCCAATTCAAAAATTATTACAATATGATTAAGTTTAATTTTTAAGTAGCTCACTAAAAAATTAAATTATATATATTTCGTTTTCTAAATGTTTAAGAATAGTTAAAAGTTACTTCCCAGATTATAAAATGAAGGGGGATTTTTATGTTTTTACAAATTGGCATAATACTATTTGCAAATAATTATAATAATAATAAGAAAATTATAAACAAGTCTCAAGAATTAGTAAGGGTGAAGGTAAAGGTACATACATATGCAACCCAATAAAGTGTCAGCTCAAATGATTAGCAAAATGATGTTAAGCCTTTTTTTATTTACAGAGGCATACATATTTTTAAAACTAAAGCAAAACTAGTTTCTATCCTAATCTATCCAGGTGTGTGTGGTGATTGAAATGCCTTTCAATCGCTCCACCTGTAATCGACGTTGGTTCGCACCCAGAGTACGAGATTGACGTGTTCGCCAAATAGATAGTAAACGAAGCCGAGGACCATGATCAAAGCGAAGAAGGCGACGCGCAGGTACCAGTCGATGCCCCCCAGGAAGGGATACACCCAGATGCCGGTCCTGAACCAGACGTAGTGAATCCACACCAGATATCCGACCATGAAGGCAGCCAGTCCGGCGAATCCCCGACTTCGATGCGGATATCTGTGGCGAGTGATGCCCAATTCGATGAGGGCGTAGACCACGACGAAGGTGTGCATGGCGTGGTTCAGCCAACTTGGGTAGACCAGGTCCAGTAGACCGGGATATATGGCCTCGCGATCGATCACATATAGTGTCCAGAAGGTGAAACTCACCGTGAGGGAGAGTGGCACCACAAAGGTGGCCAGCATGTAGTCACGCAGGCTCCTCAAAGATCGCATTCGGAAGAGGTCATAGGTCAGCGCCAAGGCATAGTACCCGAACTGCACCAGGCCACCCAGAAAGGTCATGTACTTGAACTTGCCACCCATCGGTGGCTCCAGACGCAGGGTCACCGCCAATTGTGGCAACTGGGCAAACCGAAAGTCATAGTAAATGGCGTAGCCCAGGTGAACAACGGCGGACAGGTGCAACAGCAGGCGCGCCCCGTTCGACCAGTTGCGTCGATCCATTTCCGGGTGGATACTGATCGTCATCGTCAATCGACCATGCCGCTATGATAATCAGGTAAAAAATCAATTCGTTACGAGGAAAAAACAATAATCTAAACGCATTCGTTGGCGATGGTAATAGCCAGTAATGATATACCATACCTAGCGAAATACCACGTGAAAATGTAAAAACAAAATTGTATTTTAATCACAAGTTTTTAGAGGTAGTTAACTATTAATGAATCATTTCATGTGCCCAAAAAGTCATTAGGTCCTTCTTGGTCGGTATATATTTATTCGGTCAATATCTATCGACACACAGAAAAGTTTCCAATCGAACCATAAATTTCTGAATTAGTTATTAAGAACTGAAGTTTAAATAACGTTATTATTAGCAGATAAATATATCTCACCGCCAGAGGGCGCCGCATCCCGAATCTATGTCACGCCAATAAAATTGTAAGTGACGCCATCTGTTGGTGGTATATTTAGTTAGAAATTGGTTAGAGGATATATGATTTGATGGCCAAGAATATAACCAAAACATTAAAATAAATTTTCCGAACTTTAATACAATATTTTAATAAATTCTATTAAACATTTTATAACCACACATGCGACAGATACAATTTATTATTCCTAAAATACATTAACTAAAACTTACAGTTGGGTATGTTTTTGCCAAAACCCAATGTATCAGTTTCATTGTTAGTTTAATTTTCGACCCAATGATAAAGGATAATATAGTGAATATTGATTCCTATTGAAAATGGCTGTTTGCGGAGGAAATAACAGGGGTGCGACCTTTGGAACAGCTGATTCGACCGGCCAGAGCTACTCCAATTTCAAAACCAGATGTTGCGATGGAAAGGGAAGGTCCACAAACCGCAGGCAATCAAATGGCTGTGTGTTCCGTAAATATTTGTTTGTTTTCCTTTGTCGGCAGTGCAGATCTCAGTGATAATTAGCCAGGCCCATCACCACCATATGTCCAAGGTAGACACTTCCCTGAATGGTTATATTACCTTTTGCTTAATTCGATTCAGCCATCTGACGGCCATGGCGATGTTTCCACAAAAATGTAGGAAATATAATAAATAATATATTTTCTTTCAATATACATATATCCTTAGGCAAAAAATACTTTTAACTTGCCAAAATATTTATACTAAAAAGCATTAAAAAATGTTTCTACCCCTTTTTTTCAGTTTAAATAATATTTAATTAATTCCGCACACTTATGGATAAAATCTCGGCCTAAAATAAGTCGACATTTATATGATTAGTAAGTCTTTGCCGTACGAATTCGAATCTTAATGATAAATAGTGGCCACTGGTCAGTGACTATTTATAAATTCAATTTAACCGTCTGTCAAGAGTGATAACAAAGTGGAGCTAAAAAACGAAAGGAGTCGCGAAAATGTAATGCCATGACGTCCGTTGTCTGTGGAACATATGTACATGTGTATATGAAGAAGTCTGATGTATGCCGGGGTAATTATGATCAGCACAGCTCAGACTAATTGGAGCAATGTTGTTAATTTTTTAAAGCCGCCGTCGGACACGTTTCGCTACGGTCATTGCGACAGAGATATTCAAATAAAGGCAGACGAATCTGCCCGATATTTTCGCACTTGTAATGGGGGATACAATATTTGACAGTCAAACATATCAATTTTTTTGGGGCGAGCGGTTCCAGGTGGGAGGAGTGAATTCACACTGCCAATAACCTCTTGAGCTTTTGCTAAGAGTCGATTAAACTGCGTAAGAGAACAGAGTCAAGGTATTTGTGAGCCAAGCAAGCTTCACTCAAGAGAGCGATGGGTAAATGGGGTTTGCTTGCCATACATTTTGCACTCTCCTCCAGTCGTAGATTTGAGTTTAAATTACTTTTATTGAAGTTTACTACAAAACTTAAGTAATTGTTTCAATTTAAAATTCTTTAGAAAAACAATTTAGCAGCCATTTTCAACACAAAAGTGTTCAGTTAGGTCAAAAGTAACTCAAACAAAATTGTAAAAAATGTTTTCAGTGCTCTGTAATTTATTTATAATGTAATGTATTTAATTTTAATTTTTCATAAGTACAGGCGCATAAATATTATGAAGAAAGATTTAATTTTCCCCCTATTTTTGCTAATATTTGAGTGGCTTAATTAGCAAGAAATAATGTGACTTATAGATTGTATTTTTGATTACCTTTTATAAAGTATTTTATATATGCACTTTTTAAGTTAACTTCTAAACAAGTGTAGCGCGGATATAATTAATAAGAAAACCACCTTGGATACTGATTGAAAACAATAAATGCAGAACTTCCAAGGAATTTGCCGCCTAAAGTGAAATTTTCACATCCACCAAAATATATACATATATATGTATATACTTTCTACCTCTAAAAACCGAATTCTAGGATCAAATTTTACCCTGTCCCCTTTTGGTTGCTAAGAATTTTTCCTAATGACTTAAACGCGGTAACCACTAAAACATTTACAGCGCATATGGTCCTGTTGTTTACCTTCACCACATCTCCGCCAGAACCAAGGTAAAAACCACGACACCCCACAGCATCGCAACCCATTTTCCATACCCATCGGCACTTAAACGTAAATAGTCGCATTTTTGCGCAAATTTTCCCCAAAACCGCAAGTAGAAAACTCATTAAGCGCAAAGTGTTTGGCGGCAAAGTAGGCTGGAAAATGGTAAGATTGGTATGCCATCAAAAGTGGAACCAACTTTGTATGCAATATATAAATTATGCCTTCTAGTCTTAAAAATATTTTAATAATAGGCAACAGATGCACTTATTGGATAATATTTTTAGTTTACAACATATGCACTTACGATTAAAAATTAAAACATCACATATATAAAATAATAAATTTTATATATTTAAAGCTATAAATATAATGCACATCAAAATACGAAACCATAAAAAAAACGGGATTAATATCAAATGTGTTTGTTTTTTAATTTTATAATCTTTAATGTAATAATCCAAATCTAGAATTTTAGAAAATGTTATAAAAATGTTACTTCTCCTTTTAACCTGGCCTCTTTTTTTCTAACTCAGCTCACGATTTTTGTGTTGTGTGTATTTGGCAAATTTGTGTCTTTTATAATATTTGGATTGTGTGAACCTGTGTTTGCTTTTCAGTTGTGTGATGTTGGGTTTTGATTGGGAAGGGGAATGCTTTCAAGATGGTGGGATTTGCGGACTACATAGACACGTGCGTTGCCAAATAAATCCGCCGTAAGCCCCTTTTCGTTGTTTCTTTATTTTTCCAGCGAGTTTAACCTATCCCTTTTTTAGCTCACATACTTAAATTTCGGCCTGAAATATTTGAATTTTGGTTTTATTTTCCTTCGCACATGTCGCCTAATTTCGCAGTCAGGATACATGCAAATTGTGTGCATACATAAGGTGACGCATGTAAGTCCTTTATATTTAATAGGCTTTTGGTTTATTATATCCTTGCTATTGATTTAAAAAATTAAATTGTATTATTTATTTACTACCAAAAATGTTTTAATAATAAAGAGAATGGAGAGCACAGTTTTGTTTTCCTAAAAAAAATGTGTTTTGCTTAAAATATATATATATATTATATATATATTTAGGTTATTACTTCCTTCAGTCGTTTAATAAAGATTTGATGATGCAAGCGAAATTGACATCCAGCTTAAATTACCAACTAACTTGGAACTTGAAACTCATCGTCGCCCAAGGAGCTTTTCAGTAGCCATCAAGGACCTGGCCAAGAACCGGGTGCAGGATGCAGCTCGCAAAGGTCAGCCCAAGGACAAACATCTAGCGAGATGCACAAAAATTCAGCATTCCTATTAAAATCGATTTTTAGTGCCTTACGCAGTGATGCCAAAAACAAGAAGGGAAAACGCGCAAGAGTGAGGAAAACCCGACAAAAGGAAAAATACGAAATGTGGATGATATGCTAAGATATTTTCTAGCTATTTTTATCAACCCGTACTAGATAATTACCATAGATATTTTAGAAATTATATTAGCTGGCATTGCAATCGCATTTCTGGTTTATTATAAAAGGAGAGTTATCATTGGGTATTTTATGATTTAAGTTTATAAATTATACCATGTCTTCTAGTTTTTATTACTATTGATTTTTTTCTTTTAAACTTATCTTTCTTTCAGATACAAATTTGTCTATTCCTATTCTATAATTTTCGCCAGCTTTTTCGCTACTGGCAGTGGGCAACACTGGGCGAATGGGGCGCGGCAAGAGTATTTGCATTAAATTATGCGACGAGCTGCGGAAATGTTTGGCATCAAATGAAGGAGGGCCGAAGAAACGGGGGCAGATGAAGGAAAAATCCGAGATGAAGGCAGTGCTGCGCACCGTTAAGTGCGGCGGAAGCAATTTCACTCTTCAGCACAGGGAAAACCGAAAAAAGGGAAATACAAGTAAAGGCAGCCACGACATCGCAAAAACAAAACAAAAATGTAATAGAAATCCTTCAAACATCTGCGAACCGCTCACTTCACATCGCTGTAAGAACACCCCCACAAAATAAAAAAAAAGCAAGCATCCTTTGCTCCTGTATTTGAATACATAGGTAAGTACGTGTGTGTGTGCTCGCATTTGTAATTGTTTCCTTTTTTGCTTTACGAGTTTTTCATGTCTCGCACAATGTGTCACCGCCCCCATCCTCAAAATCATCCATCGTTTCACTAATAAAAATACATTTCCCCTTTAAACTAAAAACTCATATTTGATTTCAGACATAAGAGTTCTTTGTTTATTTAAATCAACTGGAAAATATTATATTGTCTTCTTATTAAGCATTTAAGTAAAATATTCTTTCTTTTCTGGAGATCTCATTTATTATAGAAATATGTATAGCATGTTATATTATTTATGTTTATGAACAACCATTTTTTTGTGCTGATAAATAAAGTCGATAAAGCGGTTGCCAACATTTCAGTTGTAACTGAAGTAAAGAAAGAGGTTTTTTTTTTCAGTGTAGTACATCTGGCAAAAGACGCCCACCACTGCA